GTTTTACCCGTATATTGTTGTCATGTCCAGGGTTGAATTATGCTCAGTACAACAAGGGCTGGAACATTTTGTGCTTTGCTCGAGAAAGCCAAACCATAACATGCAGGAGACACTTGTCCACATACAGAATGAGAGATTTACCCCAAGTAAACTCCAGAAGGCTCAGATTTTGAGTTAACAAATATCATTCCTGAGGGGATAAGGAACATTGCCCTCTTACTGATAGGCAATTAGCAATTTTAGAGGACACTGTCAACAAGCCAATGGCCTTTTGCCCACAGTTCATCACTATAAATATAGCCCAGCTCAACAGGGATCAAAAATTGTTCATGTCTAATAAGATGATTGGTATCTTCTCTCTGAGATGAGTTTAGCTGGGCTCAGATCCAGCTGCTGTATCAGGAGCTGAAGTGGCAGAGTGCTCCATCACATGCTCAGCAGAGATGCCCAGACGTTCACAGGCTGCAGGCTCTGTCCTCTCTCTCTCTGTCACTGTCCCTGGTCAGACCCAAAGCAAACTGGCAGAGCAGTGCACACCCCTGCAGCCTCACCCAGCCAGCCCTGGGGCTCCTCAGCCTTCCAAGCTCCCACAGCCCAAGGAGCCAGTGCCCAAAACCAGGCATCCCCGAGCTCCCTCTGGGTTTAAAGAGCTTTGGAGATCTCAACCCCAAGAGTTCCCTCACTCTTGCATCAGCCAGCTTTCTGGAAAGCCCAAAGTGCTCCAAAATGACCCCATGCCTGTCATTATTCCCCGCTGCCCACCATTAAATAGCTGCAGGGAGTTTGACCAGAAGCCCCACATTTCCAACACATAATGCTGCATCACCACACGCTCCTCCCTTTCCTCCCAGCACTAAAACATCATAAAATAATTAGTAGACACAGCACAATGTCACTGCAAAATAAATAAATAAATAAATAAATACTGCCTGTGCCTGCTGCATCCCTTGTCTGGCTGGCCCCTGCTGCCAGCAAGAGCTGAGCTGGAAAAATCATTCCCACCTGTCCCCACCCTGGCAGCAGCCTGGATCAGCAAGAAGCCTGAGCTTGATAGAGTGGGAAATGCTGTCAGTGCAAATGAAGTATCCTGGCATGGGTGAGTGTGCAGGGACCCTGAAGGAATCCAGCAGCAGCACTGCCAGCCACACCAGAGGTGCTCTGGTGGCTGGTTTCCCATCGTTTGCCTGATCCTGTCAACGTCTCTTGCAACTATCATACAAACTTTAAAAATATATATATATGATAGTAAAAATTCCAGTCAATATATCCTTTTAATTCGCACCAGCTTATATTTTTTAATGCAATTACTGTAATTTCATTAAATGGCATAATTACCATTAATGCAGAGAAAACTGTCAATAGAAGGTGTAATTATGTTGTATAAAATCACAAGCACAATGTGCAATGATGCATAATTCCTCATGAAAATCATTGTGACTAAAATTAACTTTTAAATATTTTAAAAATACATATAATACAGTAAGAATGATTTGGTTATTACAGACTTCACTTCCACAACCAGCAAAGGGGGAGCAGAGCAGGCAGGGAGTGTTTGCATACAGAAGAAAGGTTCAAACATTTGGCTTAAATGTGCAACAGGAAGGTTAGAAGACAAGTTTTTGTATGCATGAGTGGGAAAAACAAACAGGTTATAATCAGACGTAAAAGCTGAGTTGTGAGCAGACATTCCCCCAGGCACATTACAGGACGCAACTCCAGCTTTTGGACACCAGTGATGCTGTGTGGAAGTGATGTCTCAATGGAGAAGAGTGTGGTGAGGAAGGAGTGAAGAGGACCAGGCTAAAAGTACAACATTGAGACTGCAAACTGGTAGAAAATTGTCCAAGGTAGGATACGGAGTGTGTCAGGCACACCAGAAGGACCATACAGGGATGTACTGGACTATGTGTCCAGTATCTTCAAAATAAAGACCTTTTTGTGATGTATGTTTCAATCAAAGCACAACATACTGGATTGAATACAGAGATAACTACACCAGGATTAAACAGAAAGGGATGTTTGAAGGTCTTTTTGGTCTTAAAAGTCTACAAATCCCCCCCAAGCCTTGAACTGATGGAGAAGAATACAAAAAGAGCTTAAAGGTATCTCTTGGTATATGAACACTGTCAACTCTACAGGCAACATTTTTCACATGGGATATTCCCAGGCAGACACAACCATGTGTGATCATTTTTAACACCAGACCAGTGAAGAGAGGCAAACTATGAAGAACCCAGAAATTCTATGTGTGACCCTTTCCTCTGACCCAGGATGTTTTCTCTAGTTGTGCAACACCATTTCCACCAAACCTTTTCTGCACAGGGCAAACATCACCAAAAGTGAAAATCTGCTCTTCATCTCACCTCCCTTTCAACCCTCTTTACTAAACCTTTAAGCTTGAAAAAAATCTGATTTTACATGCGCTTCAGCAGAGCCCAGTGTCCTCTGTGCCTATACAATTAACTCAGATAAAAAAACATCAGATTAAAAGCACAGAACACTGATGAAAAATGTGATTACATTTTTATAGCACAAAAAAATTCATCTACTCACATGTTCTTGGACTGTCTCCTCTCACCATTACATCCTAATAAAGAAATTTAGCCTGGGATGATGAATCTTATAAATGAGGAAACAGAGTGAGAGCATTTTTCTCATTCACTTGTGTCCTGCCTGTGCTGTCCTCTGTTTCCTCCCTCTTTACCTGTCCCTCTTTTTCTCTTACACCCCCAAAAGCAGCTGATGTCCTTGTCACACACACGAGCTGAGCACTAATGGGGAGGGAAGACTGAAATAGGAAGGTGAAAGATTCCATGTCCTTGGCTATTGCTGTCCTCTGACAGTCTCACAAATATTTTATCTGTCTGGCAGTGGGTTTTGTCTGATTGCTGAAGAAAACAAGGCTCTCATGATTACACTGCCTGCTTGTCTTCCCCCTCCTCCCTCACTTCATTCCCCCCTTGGAAGAAGGGGCATGGGTTACCTGTAGAGGGAAACCAAGGGAAATACCAGATCAAAATGGTAATTGCCAGGGGCCTGAGGGACATCATCTGTAAGGCAAAATAATTTTTAAAAACCACATTTTCTAGTTTGAGGGCCTAACTGGCATCGAACCAAATAAAGGGTTTCATGAGCACAGCTGAAAAATGGGTAGAGAAGCTTTGTGCATCCTCCTCACCTCATCTTTTAACCAGCACATGAGGAGTGGATTTTCCACACAGACTGGGCAGAGAGGGATGCTGCACCTACTGTGCTGTGCGTATTTTAAATACTATGAACACTAACGCTGGAAATAGTGAGAGAGAGAGAGATATATAATTAGCATTTCATTTTTAGTGCCAGAGCTGAATTATCTCCATGTGAGAAAAATCAGATAGACTTAAATTTTGGGTTGTAGAAGAAGCCTGTGGTAATTATTCTTAGAGTTGAGTATTTTTATTCCTTTCCCATTACCCACTTCCTTTCAGGAAACCAGGAGTATTATGGTATCCAGTAAAGATGCTATCAACCTGTAACTTGTAACCTGCTCATACTCTTTTTCACTGGGAATAAATTCCTTTTTCTGCAGACCCATTTTCCCACCTTCTTTTCTGCCTCTCCATCTCTTCAAAACTTTTCCTAGGCTTGGAAAACTGAACTTGACAGCTGTACTTCACAAGCACCTTGGTGAAAAAAAGCAATCCTTTTAAATATGTGCTTAGATTCCTGCTGGACAGTGATGGTAGGACATGGACACTGGGATTTTACCCTCTCTTTCCAGTCCCAGCATGAACAGCTACCTGATTCCCTTGGACACAATCACAGAACTCTTTTGCACAGCCACTCTTACTTCAGTGAGGTACCAATCACTCGGCTCTCCAGCCATTAAATATATATAATATATATAATATCTACTGAATGAGCTTCAAGAAACAGGAAGACAAAAAATTAGAGAAAAGACCCTCTTCATGCTACCCACTCATCTGTGCGAGCCATCCCTCTGACCTACAGAGTGAGGACAGCTCCTCTGCCCTTGTTCTGAAGCTTCTTGCAATCAGGATTGGTCTAATTTACCCATCTGTGGCAAATACAGGTTTTCCTTAAAAAATCCTTTAAGTATGTTACAATTCACAGATAGAAAATGCAGGAGAAAATCTTAGCAATGTGGATGTTATATTGCTTAATAAACACTCAACTCAAAAACTTTTTTTCTGCATGCTGGACCACCACAAAATGATTTTTGCAACCTTTAATGGCACGCCAAACATTTCAAGCATGAAGAAAATGTCACACCGCAGAATAAAGAGCAGGCAAAATCTTTTTGTGCCTGAATGGATTATGAGAAAACTGCAAATGGGGTGTTTACTACCAAGAGGAAAAAGGAGAGAGATGAAAAGCGGGATAGGCAGGTGGAGAACTTGGCTTTTGGTTTGCAGAGTGCAGCAGAACTTGCTGACCAGCCTTCTCCTATTTTTTCTTTCAAACAATGTATTATTACAGTCAAGAGAATAAATTTGCAACAAGCAATGCCAACACAGGCAGAGCAGGAATTGATAACCTGCAGTGAAGTGATGCCTCACTGCAATGGAAGATGGAAGGCACAAAACCCATCAGCTCACTGCACCACTGACATCAAAAGCATCTCCCTACATCACCCTCTTGGCCACCACCCACTGCCTTTCCTACCCCCCAGCTGCCATGTTTCAAATGAAAAATAATTCAAAATTCCAGAGTCGCCACACAGTTACAGCCTGTGCATGGTGGCATCACCCACCACAGGCATGGGCATCCCCAGAGCTCGGTGCAGGAGGTGAATACCTCTGCTCCCAGCCAGGAAAGGCTGCTCCTGAAGGTCTCATTCCCATCCCCACCAGGCCCAGTGCGGCCCAAGCTGCCCTGCAGCCAAAAACAGCAACAACAGCCAACGAGAAAGGGCTTCGCGCTGGTGGGGAGGAAGGCACGGGAACACTCCAGATCCTACATCACTCAGCCCCATGCAATAAAAGAAGAAATCCACTTACCACAAATGCTATCAGGCTCTTCACCGTGGACTCCCAGAGAAAGCAGCTCCAAAGGAATTGTATTGTATTCCATATTGCCATGGTGATTTTTTTCACACGATCAACATTTCTTGATAAGATCTGATAAATATTGAGTGGGAGGAGAGGAGGAGAAGAGGAGTTTAATCAAACACACTAATATTCTACTATTGCTTCGGAAAAAGGGATAATTTAGGCTACAAACGCATGCCAGGGCACATATTACAAATAAAGCTTCTATTTCAGACACATTCGCCAGCTCCTGTCTGCTTTCTGATTACACCCAAACCTTCCAGATTTTCCTCATCTCTTACAAAAAAAAAAAAAAAAGGCACAAACTGATGCCAAAACTAAATAAAACAGTTATACAAACCTACCTTTATCGTCATTCAATTCTTAAAATACATCAATGTCTCAGAGAAAGGGACAGAGAGAATGCAGTCTGCTCCTCTATTCTACATGTTTTGGACTAATCCATAGAAATAAATAGGGATTTTTAGACTTATAATAAGGCCTCTTGATTTTAAAAAGAATAATGGCCATTGTTCATAAATCCTGTGGACTTTTTACATAAGGAATTTAGCCTTTCTTCACAAAGAATGGAATAAGGCTCTCATTGAGCTTTAAGTGCTGCGAAGTGTGCAAAATCCACAGCTATCATTTTCCCCACTCTGAAGCACAAAGGAGAACTACTGATGCAAGCCAGATCAGAAAGCAATTTCATGTTAACACAAACAAACCTTTTAATATATACAGAAATACACTGAATTTACATGTGTTCAGCATTTCATGCATAAATAGGTTTTGTTCTTGCAACTGTGCTACAGCAATTCAAATCTTTCCAAAACAGATGCAAAAGCTTAGCCCAGACCCAATTTTCACCTTTTTAGAAAATTTGCGGTTCTCCTCAGTAAAGCGCTTTTCTCGGGGCTTGAATGTTCTAATACTTGCTTTTATCTAGAAAGAAAAAAATAAAAAAAGAAAGACCATGTAGTTTTAAAGGAGTTGTTTCATTTTCATAGCATCAGGAAGATCAGGAATTTTAGCATCTCTCAATCTTTCCAGACTCTGTGTGACATAGGAGTTGCTTTTAACACATTTTTGCTACAGTGAGGATGGTGAGGCACTGACACAGGTTGGCCAGAAAGAGTGGATGCCTCATCCCTGGAAACATTCATGTGAGCAGGGTTCAGACCAACCTGGTGTAGGGAAAGGTGCCCCTGCCCATGGCAGGACAGGGTGAACGGGATGGGCTTTAGGATCCCTTGGAAACCAAACCATTCTATGATTCCGTGCTAAGGAAAATGCAGACAAGTTAAACTGGGCAAGGTTGGACTCACTTGAGCAGGAGCAGAGCTGTGGCACAGCCCACAATGCCCTTAATAAATAGGAGTTAAACTCAGTAAAAGACTGGAGGGCATAAAGGATTGAGACTGACTCAGCCACCTAAAAACTAAGCACTGTGTCCATGCCTCATTAATTTTCCTGTCAACACCCTGGGAAGAGAACATCCTGGGTCAGCTTTTTAGGGGAGAACTAGGTATTAAAAGTAATGTATAATAAAATGAACCTGAAGCCTTTTTGGTTGTTGTAATAGAAGCCCTGGCTGCAGCCATCAGCACCTCCTTCCTAAGGTGCTTGCGGTTATTTGTCCCTCCAGAAATGCCCCTTCTCTGTCCCATCCACCTGGAGGGGCCACAGGGATAGCCCAAATCTTCTTCACTCACAGCATCAAACATCTCTCCACCACCAGATGCAATGGGGAGAGGACTTTTCTGGCTTGGCTCCTGGTTTTAAAAGCATCACCCCCACCCTCGTCCTTGCAGATTTGCACTTTTCTTACACCAGTGATATGCAAAAAGAAAATACTTTGACTTACAGGATTAAATAGGACATCCAACTCCAAGTAAATTACTCCTTTTGAAGCACGTTCCAAGTCTTTATTCTTCAGTGTGTAACAACTTTGTTTACCATTTCTAATCTATAGTTTGGGTAGGGAGGGGAGAAAAAACATCAATATTTTCCTGGCTGTAACCCTCAACATAATTTAAAGACACTGAAAACAAATAAATAATTATAACTCAAGCACAAAAGAATATAAAATAAAAACTTCTCCCAAACCCTGATAACATACTCAGATCCTGAAATACAAAACAACTGTTGGATTAGAGACCTATAAAATTGCAGATTAAATCTCTTATGGTCCAACTTTAATTTTCAGACCTTGTACTTTATAGTAGAGCATTGCACGTAATAACCAGTCTGAAAATTCTGCCCTGGAAGCCAGTGAGTTGATGGGAAGTAATCAGCCTCTGTTATTACAAGTTTAAAATGGGATTTTTCTTCCAAAGTTTAGGAAAAGAGCCACAAACAACAACTTTACCTACCTATTGCACACTCCAGTACACGAAACCACTTCTTAATGCTTAGTTTATTGCAACGTTATCAAATTATTACCCAGCAAACAAATGCAATCCAAAGAAATGAATCAGCTGAAGTGGAGCGAATGCTAATGTAACAAATGTTCAAAATTAACTAATTCATGTAAAAGACTTCTCCCCCCACCCCACCCCTGAATTTCAATACCACTTCTCTGCTCTGATCAACGCGTTGGCCCTATCTCATTAAGCATCTATTAAAAAAAAAAAACAACCAGCCCAAAAACAAAATACCTTCCTTGCCATTTTGTAAACTATTTGGCTCAAAGCAAAAGCATTCTCTCCTCAAAAATGATGGCAGAAATGTATTTATTACACACAGTGGGATATGTATTGATTAAACATTTGGCTTTTTAGGAAGCAGACCAGTTAATTCTAAACAGCAGTAACATAAAAAACTGCAGCTTACCAAAAAGCTATATTGAGGGGCTGTAATGATCAAAGATTAAAGATAACGGAGGAAATTTGGGGGCATGAAATTGCAACCATATTTAAAATGGCTATTGCTGCTCTAGCATTTAGAAGAGGCACTCATATAAACCATGGTAGAAATGAGTAAGGAAAAAAAAAAGGTGTAAAAGGAACAAAGTGATTTCACAAGACAAGGGAAAGGTCACTTTCTTTGCCAATGCTGCTCCACTCTTTCTACACCAAAACAGCTTGTCAAATGGTAGACGGGATTTCTGCCTACTGGTTGAAAGGGAAGAGGGATCTCACAAGGACCAACTCTGCATCCTCAGTGGTGTAGAGCCAGGAACTCCAGCTATTTCCTATTTTCTCACCCAAAGCTCTACAGTTACAGAGACCTATGTGGAATTCATTTAATACTAACAAATAAAAGCAGTAACACTAAACTGATCACAAGGCACCTCTGCTTTCACCACAAGACAGCACACACAGTGCTGGAGCTGGCAGCAAAGGATGCTGCAGGAAAGGGGCAGGTAAAAAAACATTTTGCAGTCCTGCAGGCTCAAAGCAGAAGAGCTGCCAAAGTGATTAAACCATTTTCTATGGCCAAATGGACTGGCATCAGAAGGTCCTCGGGCCAAATGCCACATGCAGCATCATCAACCCATCATAAAGGTTTCTGCTCTCTCACCAGTTTGCTTTTCCCTCCTTCAAAAAAAGGCCAAAAAATTGAATTTACTCAATGAAAATAACATTTTGTTTGGAAAATAGTGCTTTTGTTAAATTTTACATTTAAACGGTTTTACTGATGGCAGGAATACTGAGACAGGAGGATTTGGTTTGAGGTCCTTGGTGCAAGCAGCAACAGGTTTAGCCTGAGCTTTGATTCATGGATTCTGCTGTGAAAGGACAGAATGTACTTTATTTCCAGTGTGTCTGCAGAAATGCAGATGTCCAGTATATATCACAATATCCTAATTCTGGATTCCCCATGGTTATTCATTGTGGAGCTGAATTTCCTTGGATTTCACGTACATATATTTCTCATCACATTTCAGCCAGTTACACCAGAAGCAACAGGTAGTGGGAAAGCCTCTTTATGTTCTTTGGGATATATTTCTTTCTTACATCTTTCAAGAGCACAACCCACAAGGAAAAGAAATGTGACACAGAGCTACATTGATAGAAAAAGAAAAAATAAATGTTTCTGAGTATTTGAGCCTGATACTGTGGTGTTCTGTACTCAAAAAAAAATGCTTTGGGGAAAAGACTCTTCATTTTAAGAACTGGAGCTGAATCAAACATTTTGGGTGTGTCTGCAGGTGTTTTCAAACAGTAAGTTTTAAATCAGCAACAAGTAATTTCCACCTCTGTATTTGTAAATAGGGGTTGTTTGGGAAACTTCTTGAATGGTGTCATTGTTATTATTGCTGCTATTCTTAAATTGAACAGGGCAGAAATTAATGCAGTGCAAATAAAGTTTTAGAGTCAGATTTATTTCGCATATTTAATTCTAAGTGTTCAAACTGTCTGGAAAAAAGGTGTGCAAGTATGACGCAAGCTAGGACTAAACATTCATACAGATATTTTAGCTTCAGACTTTCTTTAGAGGGAATAAAGCACAAGAGAAGAATGGCAGGCTATGAAATGGCCTGTCTCCACTGCATTTTCATTTGGATAAAAAGGAAAAAAAACTGAAAAAGAAGCCAAACAAAAGACTTCTTTGCAGTTTGGGCACTGTGCTAGGGCAGCGTGGTTCAACAAAAGGTACAGGGTAATTCTAAGACCCAGGACTGCATGGATTACACTGCTGGCATGTCTCAACTGTGCCCACAAGAAAACATGTAAAAGAGCCTTAAATACTCCTCATTTTCATTGCATCCTGTTCTTGGGGCAGATTCTGTTCAGCTTCTCCCCCAACTTGAGAGACAGACAGTTATAATAATTTCATTTTGCATCTATTTATTTCTGCTCTCTGGGTACTTTCCCCCAGTCTCTGCTGTCCCCAAAGACTGCTGAAATGCTTTCTCCAGCTGTGGAGAAGAGCAGCCAGAGCTGGGGTCATGGGATGAACTTCAATGTCAGGAAGATCAGGTTTCTTCTGTCACCCAGACACCTTTTGCTACAAACCTGATGATGTCACATGGATTTGTCTAAATGAGTGGTTCTGATAACTGTGTCTAAAACAGCTTAATATCTACTTATGGGAAAAAGAAGGGAAAGGAATATTTAAATTAAATGTGAAAATATCTGCAGGTAAGCACCTTAAAGAGACAATCAATATTATTCCTTTATTGATGATGTGTTATATCCTCACTGAATACTAATGCCTGCATTCTCTGAAAGCTTCTTAATAGCTTACTGGGGCTCAAGCACCAAGCAGGACTGCCCATAACCCTGGGATTAACACCAGGACAGCAGTGCCTACCACACCCACATGCTGCATTTTGCAAGGTCACCATCAGAAACATAGTCTGGATTTTCATCCCATGGGAATTTCTGATATTTGGGGCATTTCCCTCTTCTGAATCAACACAGAAGGACAAAACCACATCCATATTTTCACAGAAAGACCTGTATATTCTATATCACATTCCTTCTCCACACAGGGCCACAAAAAGGAAACTATCAGTTGGAAGAAAAGCTGAAATCCTTTTTTGCAATAAATATTTCAACCTACAGAGGCACTTGAGGCAAAACACTCCCTGAAGTTGCCTCTAACTGAAGGAAATGTTGAGGTACATGAGACCACCATCCAGTCAAGGTCCAAAGTGCACCAGGTTCCTCTCAAATGAATGAATATATTTGCTAAACTCTTCGCACAGATGTCCCCAGTAAAACAAATGTGACTAAACACAGTATTGATGTAGCCAGCCAATGCTAAATCTATTAAGCAACAACCTTCTGACCGCTTGGGAATTTTAATGAAATAGCAAAAGCCAAGATTGATATGACACAAAACACGGAGAAGACAGGACCCTTACGCAGCAAAGTGTGTTTTTTCATTGCTCTTGTCTTAAAGAAATATGGTTTAGAGGCTTTTTTTTTACATTGATTTTAAGAAAACTTCACTCTGTATCCAGCTTTGATGCAGATTCAATGTCATATATTGATGACCTGACAGAAGAATGCTGGGTTAAACCTCTGTACATCAACACCTGTGACGTGTGGAGAGGGTAATGGCTACTCTCCAAGGGTAATTCATCTAAAGCATTTGGGACCTCTGATATTCCTGCTTGAGCTCATTGCTGATGCACAATGTAATCCCATTTGCCCTGCATAACATAAAGCTGTCTTGTAATAGACACACACCTCCCCTTATCAAAGGACGTATTTCCCCAGGAAAAGATGAAACCAAGCCACGTATTTGATCCACCTACACATGAATAAAGAGAGTTTTGTTCCTCCCCAGTCTTGCCACGTGCACCAAACCAATTTTGTACAAAATGCTTGTTCCTTCACCCCAAAAGTCTTTATGCCAAACACTTCACTTTGAATAACCTTCTGTAGGATCCGAAGAGGAATGGAGATTTGGGTTTTTGGCAGAGGACTGCTATCCAAAGACCAAAGAGATATGGAGCTGATGGACTGAAAGAAAGCAGGCAGGGCTTTCATAGGAGGGCTTCGAGCCAGTCTGAGGAGGAGCTGACAACCCTGGAGTACAAGGATCCTAGGTGATACTTGAGACAACCTCCCTGCTGGTACTGTTTCAGTGAGCAGCAAGTGGCTGGGAGAGAATCTGACGTCAGCAACAAGACGTTGTTTTCCCTGGAAGAGAGGTGGGGGATTTTTCCCCATTCCAAAAATCCTGGTTCATGATCAGGATAAAAGTCAGAACAGACAGCACACTTCACAGCTGCCTCCATTGCATAAACACAGCAATTTGACTTTTCTCAAACTCTAAAACTTTCTCCTGGAAAGGACTGTGCACTTATGGTCAAGTGCTAAGTAAGTGCAACCGTCAGGTGTCTGCTCTCTGAATCCAGGCCATCCTTTAGACAATCAAGCTTGCCAAAGGCACACTCCCTGTTTTCAGTGTATCGTTGGCTACTGACCTTGCCTGGCACTTGAGAATATTTCATAGACCTCTACCTGTTGGCTGGAAAAAAAGGGTGCAGCTGAGGACTACTCTGACCTGATAATCCAGCAGATAAAAAACATTCCATTCTGCTCTACAACTTCTCACTCAAAGGCCTTTCTACATGAGGATATTTGATATACTCTGCTTTCAAATTCATTGAAGCACACTATATGCTCCCATGTCTCTAATAACTTGCAGCCTTCTAGGAGATAGGAGTCTCTTGAAGCAGAGGAAAAAAGACAGACCCTCACAAAGACACACGGTTGCCTTTACTAAGATCTAGGACACAAAGGAACACAGAGACAGAAAGGACTTCTTTGATAATTAGTTCAAGTCCCCCAGAACCTACAAAACTTCTAAAACCTATCAAACTTCTTTCTTGAAGTAATAAAGTTTTTGCCCTACTTCTTCGTTGCCCAGGTTCTTCTCCAGTTTCTGGCACACAAGCTTGCTCTGCTCAGGGCTCGTGGGCTTCCCTTTCACTCCCCACACCCCAAAATCTCCCTCCCAGCCCAAGGCTTGGCCAGGCCATGCTCTATGGATCACCTCTGGCAAGAGAAAGATCCATTTTGCTGGATGCTGTGGTAGCACTGAACTGTTTCTTTTCTAGTGTAAATTGTGAATGTGGCTGACCAGAGCAGTGCTTGAGATGAGGTCTCACACTTGCTTTAGAGGAGTAATTTGACAAAAAGTACACAAGAAAAAAAGTACAATAGGTTGATCAACATGGAAAAGTTAAAGCTAAATTACAAACTTCTCCCTTTGTCTCCAAATTCAGTTTATTGCTCGCAAAATGTGCATTTATCCAATTCTGCTTTATCACCTCTCGCAGAATGTGAAGTTTGTAGCTATATTCACCATTTGGCACCTTAAAACTCTTCTCATGCTGCCCAGCTTTTTATTTTTCTTATTTGGTTCTGTAATAACCCTACATCACAGTCAAGGATGAACGGAAAGAATACATAATTTCACCATCCCTGAATTTTTGTGCTGTAAGGTTATTCCTGTGTTAATGTGATGATGAGGGTGTAGTCATGATTGCAAAATGCCAGTGTGGGACTACTGAACACATTTAACCCAAAATTCAGTGTCATATTAATTAAACATTTGATATCCCTCCAACACATACTTTACTAAAGGCAATTTTTCATTAAGGAAATAATCTAGCCATCCATGAACAATTCCTGAAGTAAACTTACTTCATGTGCTGACAGCTCACAAGTCAAACTTGTGCATTTTTAACAGGAAAAAAGAATGGCAAAAGCACATCTATTTTCAAAAGACAACTCAATGCCAGGCAAATATTAGGCCTGATTACATACAGAAATTAAATCTATATGGTTGTGAGGCTTCCTTGAGTCTTTAACTTTTGTTCTCTTTTAGTATATTTATCTAAATGGTTCAAAGTATACATTCAAAGTTACAGTCAAAATGATAACATACATTGAAATTCCTATTTGAAGAAAAAGAGCTTAGAAAATTACAGTTCTCTGTCTGAGCAGACCAAGTTAATAGGTGCAAAATGGTTTTAATCAGAAGCAGAGATGAATATATTTACACTAGATTTGACTGAAATAGGAGGCAGAGAAGTTTGGATGGGAAGGAAGAAGATCAGTTGGCAAGGGAAAGCATAAACAATTTTTATTTTATTTTTTTTGTCCCAAACCTTGGACACAGAAAAACCTACACTGAATAGTTTGGACATTACCACACACATGCACTCCCCCTCCTCTGCCTTGTTACATGCTTCCTAAGGGATACTTGACAAATGCCTATAAAATCAACAGAAAATCCAAATCTAACATCTTCTCACTGTGAGCCCACACAGCCTGCTGCCGATCATGCAGGCCATTTGGCAAGCACTGGGTCTGCAGGAGAGCAGCTGCTCCAGCCACTCTCTTCCAGTAACATCAGAGATACGAGGACTTGGGGAGGAATTAACAAAGTGATCAAAAATGGAATAAAAGATGTTAAGAGGTTTTTTCCTCCCTGTAAACATCAAATAATCCTTCATGCCCAACTGACTTTAACATTATTCTAAAATAGAAGATATTGACAACTCAAGCTACAAAAATAGATGAACAATCTAAAATATCCACAAAAAGATCACGTAGTCTGAGGGAAGAGCATTGTAAAGCTCACAACAGCGTGTGGGCCACTGAGAGCTCAGAATTTACTCCTCAGATCCTTCATATCCGCAGATTGCTGGGCTTCTCCTGTTTCAGACCCCAGTGTGAGCAGCACAGGGTGGATGAAAGCACATACACTTTTGTGAAGAGATTCAGAAGCCACATTGGTTTTAATTCACATATACAAGAAATACACTTATTTAGACAAAATCACAACAAAACTGGAGCGTATAGACCTATTTCCCTACTACTGTAAAGCATTCTTTAGTTTGGGATCATATCCCAAAGTCAGTTCAAGAGTTTTCTGGGCAGTTTGCTTTTTATTTGGAAATACCAAATATTTCAGTCCCTCTCTCTGATCTTGACTGGCCCCTTACTGAAATTGTGCTGATGCTGTGAGCCTCATATGGCCTGCCTTGATCAGATGGGACCTTTGCTTTCCCTCTAGAAATCTCCCATTTCTCCAGTCTCTGCTGGGACAGAGCCCCACAAACCCATCACTGCCCTTCCTGCAGCAGCCAACCTCTAAAACTCAAAGACAAACTCTTGCCTCAACCCTGGAAGATGTGTGCCAGCCTTTCTGCAGAGGCAAATCTGCTTTCACAGGGATGTTTCAAAACAAGACTGCAATTTTGTACTGTGCAGTTTCAATCAGGATCCACCATCTGCCTATTTGAGAGTGCTATTACCCACGGCATCACACTGAGCATTACTGAAAGCATCTCACCACAGCCTGTGCTGCTGTGGTTATATATGGAAAGCATAAATGTCATCATAGAATACCCTGACTTGAAAGGGACCCACAAGGATCCTGGAGTCCAACTCCTGCACAGGACAACCCTGAGAATCACACCAGCATGTTTGTACAACAAATCATCACCTCACACTCCTGCACAGGGCTCAACTGCACAAATATCTGTCACGGCATCCCCTCGGCACAGGGAACTCCTGCAGAGCATCACTGCCTCCCAATTCACAGCAAACCCCATGCTTACAGCTAAATGTGTTTACACAACTTGCCTAATATGACACAAGAGTCCCATGATGTTTCAAGCCTCATCTACTAATTGATTTAATAAGTCACAGCCTAGAAAGTTCTTCCTACACGTTACTGTAAAAACTACCAGAACCTTCTGTGACACTGCACATACACATGGAGCTGTTTACGTCCTCTTGATCCGGTTTGCTCGCTAATACTACCAGTCTTGTTTCAAAATTAAATCAGTCTTACCAAACACAAAGCTGCTTTTCCCCCATTCCTCTATTAAAGTCTTTTAATGATCCTTTCATGTTCCACTCTCTTTAGCTTGGCCTTTTTTTGGCTGTTTCTGAAAAAGCTTCAACTCCCCTTAATCTCCAGAGCAACCACTTTCCCCTGAGCTCGCTTTGTTTCCAGTTTTGATTTTACACTCCCATGGTAGCGCTCGCTCCTCACATATTTGTTTACAGAACAAAAGCCACCAGTCTTTAAAAGCACTGTGGAGTGGAAAACACCCCTTTTAGGTAATTTCATTCAGCCACGCCAATAACAACAGCTATCTCTACTCAATCCGACTGCGATGTGCAATTACTTTCTTGGAGTAAAAAGAAGCAAGACAGAACAAGGACATGCTTAAAATGTTACCTTCAGAAGATGATGTGGAAACACACAGAACAACTCAATTATGTTCTCCGACCTACGTGGCACTGATGAAGTACAGACATTTCTGCAGTTTGCTTTCCAGTCAACCAAATTTGTACTAAGATGGGTGGACAATGCTTGTTACACTAAGGAGAACTATAAACACTGCCACCTAAGGCAGGTATAGATCACAAAACCTGTTTAAATCTGTGGGGTTTTGTGCTAAGGGGGGAAAAAGGCAACGTATTCCCAGCCAACCATGATACATGTGGAAAAGGTAACTTACAGACAGCAAAGGGATGGCAACTTTTCCAAGGAAATCAGGGGGTTTGTCTCCATCTTCATCAAACACTGTCACTTCCAGAACATCGTGAATATCTTTAATAGGGCTGGAACAAAAAAATGCAGACACATAAAAAATAATATTCAATACACATACACACAGTCTCCTCCACAAAGATCTGAGACTGGTGTTGTACTAATTAAGTCTGTATTACCTTGGGGTATATAACTAGCATTTAATTAAATTCCCCCCACAAAATGAATCAAGTGATGGGCATTCCCCAAGCTTTTCCCTCAAGTTTCAGTTGCATAACTAGGTCCAGACAGTGACTTTTTGGTATTTTTTGTATTGGTGATGCTATCAATGTAAAACTCAGCTCTCCAACAGAGAATGCTGGTGCTGGAAGAGGTCAAGGGCTGAATTCAGACCCAAGTTTCATTGCATTAAAACTGCACAGTGACACACACAGGTAAGTGTGTTGCAGAAAACCTGGATATAATGGGGACGGCTTTGTAGTGGTACTGAAAGGTCCAGCTAAAATGGACTCACCCACCCAAAACAATCCAACTGCTCCAAAATACATCTAAATCATCAATAGCTTTTAAGGGGCTTAATTAATTTCTTTTTTAATGGACAAAAATCTAAGGAGAGATGCGAGTGCCTGACTGGCTCTGCAGATTTGGTGCTGGGATCAGCCAGGCAACATTAGTAAGAAAGTTAGAGAAAGTCCATAGCTGACATTTCTGAGACCCACAGGAAGTACAGACACAAACTTTCTTTTTAAATAAAATAAATTTGGATTGTTATTGGATTTATTTTGCTGGCTGAACATCCGACAAGACTCATCTGCTGGCACAGTCTCAGAAAAAACAGTCAGGAGTGGAAGCTTCTTAAGAACAAAGTATGAGAAAGGACACCAAGACACAAGTATTCAGCTGCACCCCTGAATTAAACAGAAATACAGCAAAGTATTTCTATTAAAGAAATCAGATATTTTTTTCTTGTGTTCTCATCCAGCCTAGTATTTATGAATGTTGCTTTAGCAAGAAGTTCATAATTTTCAAACTGTTCTTCCAGTGGACAGATGCAAATGTCAAAAATGCTTCACTGCCACTCTTTGCACAGACTGCTGCAGTCTTGGGAGACATTTATCTCACTCACTTATTCACAGAAATCTTTGTCAGCATAAATCAAGATTTAAAAATTGGGCTGCCTAAAAGCAATACCAAAATTATTACTTATATTATTAATAAAGTGACAAATAAAATAATACCATGATTTCCATGAAAATTTAAGCATCTAATTTGGAGCGTTTGACTAGTTAAATTCAGAAGATAGACCAACACCAACATGAGCTCTAATTCTCTGCTTACTCCAAACTAAACAAGGATTCCACCAAGGTTCGGTGAAACATATTTTAAGTTATGGAAAATGTAGGCGTGAGTATCTGGTCTCAACTTTCTGTTACATTATCTCTTGGATCAAACTATGACTCCATTATGTCTAGTCATGATTCTTCCTATAAATATCACAGTAATTTTTCTTTTAATGACTTCTATTAATAAACTCCATGCAAGAACTAGTAAAAGGCAAAAGGCTTTAATTAAGTTATATTTGAGATTTCTCCAACATCCTCTCTGACTATGAAAAAAATGACATATCTTAAACTTGACCTTTGCATTTTCCCAAGTCAATAGCTTTCCTAGTTAAGCCGCTAAGTGGAGTTGCTGCATGGTTTCCAAAGCAATCCACTTACAATGTGAAAACTTTGTTCCACTCTGGGTTGAGGTTCTTGTAAACGGTGTGTGTTTGAAGCATGTCATTTCCCAGCTCCAAGACACAGAAAGGATCACTTTTGCCTAGGGAAAGGAAAGGAAAATTAAGTGGACCAGTTATGGTATTTAGTATGCACACTCTTTCTTTGCAGCCCTTGCAGGGTGGAGGAAGTGACTCGTTAAATAAAATTAGATCCATTAAAGCAACTGCGAAGTGTCTCGTTCTGTGGAATGACTTGCCCAAAAAAATTGCATCTCTGATCATTCCCAGTTCTGGAAACTCCAACACTTACCTTACAGCTCACTCAGGAGGCTTCACTCTTAATACCTGAAATCTAAGACCTTGAGTGAATCATCCCTCAGTCCTTACAGCAAGAAAGATCTGTTCATGGTGACAATGACTCAGCTGCCCTTAGGAAAGCAGCACCATTGCTCAGAGCCAGGGAAGGAGCAGCACTGCAGTTACACTCCCTGTTTTATCCTCTGCTTAGAGCCTGTTGTCTTCTTCAGTTCATTACAGGATTAAGTATCCACATCATGAGAAAAGAAGCACAACACTGACTGAAATCAGAAGTATTTCTTCAATTAGTTCCATGTGAGCAAGTCCTTGAAGCAATGAAGGCTCTACACTGTGCCACAGTTTAAACAAAACCCAACATCAACTGGAGAATCCATGCATGATCCAAGTATTGTACTTACAGCCAATAGAGTAAACCCACCACAACAAAACAAAAAAAAAAAAAAAAAAAAGGCAGAAAAACTCCTCCTCTCTAAAGAAGGATGTCAACATGGAATCTATTAGGTGAACACATGTTTGCTAATGTATTTTCTGATCACTCACATTAAATGAATTTGTAGTTTTACCAACTCATTGCAGCTCAGCAGTTTCCTTTGCGAGCAGAGTGGCCCCTTATCAGCATGTCTGGCTCAGCATCTGATTTAATCTCATCTCCAATGCTCATGTACAACTCAGCCACAGACACTCCAGCCTAACTTCTATGTAGGCAACTAAATATGTCAGCAATGCAGGGATTTAGATATCAGACAAACAAGCTATTTAAGCAAAAGCTGTCCTTTTCTAAATCCTTATTTTCTGTATTATTAATGCAGAGCTTTTAAGGGTCTTACTCTCAGAAGTTTATAAACTAAACAGGAATCTTTTAAGTATGTAAACAGTGGGTATTAACTAGTCAATATTGGTAAAGTTTAAAGACCATGTGTATTACTGGAATCTATTTGTCTTCTCCTTTTCAGCTTACATGCCCATTCCCTGATAAGTGTGGAAAATGCATGTAGCCTTTCAGAGAAACTGCTTGAAATGCAAACTGGTATATGCCAAAAACAATCCCACTGTATAATTTGGTATTCTGAATGCTATTTTTTGGTCAGTGAGCAAATGCAGTGTTTGAGAAGAACTCTCATGCGTACACAGAAAACATCCAACAAAGCAGAAAAAGTCACTTCCACATCAACAGAACTATTATCTAGGAATATAAAAGTATGGAAGGCTCAAACTGGGCTAGCTGTGGGTGAAGAGCTTCTACATATATGATACAGCTGTCTGGAAGCCAGCCCAAAAATTTATGTCCAAGAGTAAAATATGGATTTCCAGAATACTGTTCGAAACCAAAGCAGATAGTGTGTGTTTTCTGATCACTATTATTACAGCAGAATAAAAACTTGCAATTAAAATCCATGATGACAACACACAGAAATCCCAATCACACCAAAATCCAATCTTTACTGTGGGAATAAGGTATAAGGTGGCATTACATCCATCATACCCACCGGGCTGTGGGACTTGGGGGATTTAAGACTCATGGCTGCTATGGGAAGGGACAGGGAGGGGACACTACCTGCTCACACTGCTCTTCTATTAACCCTTGGAAATCTTTGTACCTCTGATTCCCTCTGTGATTTTCCCTTTATTAGATTTTTAGCTGGGACTTTGAATTTACTTTTATCAATAACAATAAATCTGAGCAGTCTCCTTGGCAATGCAGGAAATATGGCACTGCTCTAGGAGGGCTCTATTATGGAAGCCCATAATTGCTGCACTAATCATTTATGAATGGCTCAGAACAGATAATTAATCTTTATGTCTCTCATTTCATGATCAGAAATTATGCTATTTTTACCTAAAATGGCTGCATCCTTTTGCAATTTGGTGGGTCTATTACAGCATAATACTAGGATATTTTCAGCACTGCCATTGAAAAACAATTTGTCATTTGCTTCATGAATCAGGCTCAAAGCCTGGGTTATTTTGAATATAATGACAGACTGAGTAACCTTTTACTTAAGCAGAATTTCATTCTGTGCTATGCACAAGGAATGTGTATCACATACCCTGTATGAAAAGTCTTTGAATTGCAGAATCAAGAACCTGCGTGTCTCTTCCAATGCTCATTATCCACCCACAGGCTCCTGTTCGAGTACTGAGGGAGAGGGGGCCAAATCCATCACTGATGCAACTGCTTCAGCATCAGCAAAGTTTTCCAGAGGGTAAATAACCTTCTGGGCTCAGCTTTTTCCAAAAATTCTGTCTATATTAAAACTCCACATATTTCTAGATGGAACTTTTGGCACATGGCAAAGCTGGGGCTGCTCTGCTGTGCTACATTTACCAAATTAAATTAGTCAGCAAGGTGCAGTTACACTCCTAATTTCATATAGACCTATACATTATGTCAATTTAGATATGGATTTCTTTACAAGCTACCTTTCGTTATTGACAGGTTTTGGGGGTTTTTTTTCTTTTTTTTCAAATTAAATTCTTCAGTTCCTTAAAGTATTGCTCTCTGCAGTAAACATTTTTTTCCAATTCAGGGTTAGCAGTGAATTGAATATAGCCCTAAAACAGTACCATGATTAATCGTAGTCTTTCTCCTTTGCTCCTTTTTTTAGGAGCAGCATTCTCTTATGTAACAATGCCTTCACAAAAACAAGGGAATGGAGCAAAAATGTTTTCCCTCTACCATCTTTCCTGCCCTTATCAACAAGTTATCTTTAAAAAATGACTGTGTCAGCAAATACACAACACACAATGCTGTGCCTGTGAATTATGAGCTGCTGTGAGATAGAGAGGGGAATTAAAAGGTCTCCAGAATCCTGGAGAAGATGATAATAAAAATAATAATATCCAGGCAGTCACTACAGAGAAGTATCAACGTCCCAGACTTTCCCCAGAGGTACAATATAAAGTTGTGGTTTTAAAAGGTGTTAGTGTCCACTGCTGTCAGGATCGAGCACAACCTGAGGAACAGCTCAGTGGAAAATCCATACTTTTCATGGAGTAAGAGCACCAAAAAGGTCACCCCAAAGTGAAGCCTCAAATAAGCTCTAAGAGAAAGCATCGCACTCGCAGCCCCATTGCTGACAAGTTTTTTCAGGTGACAGTCTGCAGCACCACCCAAACCCACACACCCAGCACCACATCAGACACCCCAACATCTTTCAGTCTTGCTCCCAGCTCACAAGACACCTGACAGAAGAGGGAGTGGCTTTGCTTTGCAGGTGCTCTGCAAGCACCATCGCTGTGTATCAACTCTTTCTTACTTTACACATTCCTGATGGCAAAAACACTTAGCATGATGTGCTGTTGTAAAGTTACCTGTCAGATTGCTCAGGTCTAATGGGAAATTAAGATCTCCATCTACTGGACCTTCCCAGATACTTTTGGCAGTCAAAGCCATTTGGTATCTCAGTTTCCTGAGGCAGGTTTCAGTGCGGGAGAGATGATGGGTTGATTTGCTTTTCCTTGATCAACTGATCCTTGCAAAGCAATATATTACAGCATCATATGTTGCAAAACAGAAAAAAAATACCTGAAAAATCTGCTGCCATCAGGTCCACTGCCTTTAAAACTTTGACTTGTAAGAAGCCAATGTCCTTCATGTCACGAAAGGAATTCTTTATACACTGCAAGGAGAAAGTGTAAAGATGTATTTTGCTTGTAAGAAACAGAGACTATGGACCACTAAGAAACAAAGACTATGGACCACTAAATAACTTATCACAGAGTCAGTTAGGTTGGAAACAACCTCTAAGATCATCAGGTTCAGCAACTAACCCTGCACTTCTATGTCCACCCCTAAACCACGTACCTAAAAGCTACACCTACCCATCTCTTAAATACCTCCAGCACTGATGACTCAACCACTTGTCTGGGCAGCCTGTTCCAGTGCTGAAAACCCTTTTGGTGAAGAAATGTTCCCTAATATCCAATCTAAACCTCCACAGGCACAAATTGAAATACACTTATTCCATCCTGACCAGCTTTTGCAGACATAGAAGCCGTCACAAAGCTTTATCTCCCAACATTTAAAGTCCAGAAAATAACCTTCCCGAAGGAGGGAATAAAGCTAAGTATATTATTATCTCCTCATGATATTCAGTGTCTCATTCCCCATGATAATCTTCTAACACAATTCAAGTTTGCAAAGAACAGCATTAGTTTAAAACTCAACAAATACAAACAGCCAAATTGCTTGGGTCTATCTGCCCTGCCAATCTCCTTGTCATTCAACATGCAACTACTCCATTTAATAGTTTACTTTGGTAGGGGAGATGTCATTATGACTGGAGAATTTTTTTTTCTGAAGTTTTGACTATTTCAAAACCAAAAAAAAATACAACAGAAAAAAAAAGGAAAAAGAAGACAAACTCACAAAACGTCGAGAAATCTGCTGCCGTTCGTTGGGGTCTCCCAAAGGACAGACACACAGATCAGAGATAGACACTCCTGTACATGGGGCAACAGCAATCAGCATCAGCAGGGACCCTGGGTGTTTCTCCAGAGGCAGCTCCAAGCAGTTGGTCTGCTTTGTTGGCAAGGCAGTAATGTCAACGTGGCACCTGGAATGACATTGCCAAGGGTTAATAAAAACGAAGAGGTGGTAAAAAAAATAATAAAGCAACATTATATTGATTTTAGCAGCAAGCAGGCACCAAAACTTTCTGCTTCTTCAGTGCAAAAAATAAAAACATCCCAAAATTAAACACGGGAAACTAATTAGTCAGATTCTATTGTATTTACTGTCAGGTTTTGCTTTCTGGTCTGTCTACTGGTAAGGGGAAGTAAAAGGTTTGGACTGCAAGTACAGGCGGAAAACTTAACTCTGGCCTGCCTCACTTCCCCTCTAAAATCCCCCAGTGTTTTGTGATGGATTTAAAACACAATTCAATTTCACCTGGGGGAAAAGAAAAGGGGCAAATGCAAAATTTAAAACATTAGCCTAAAATAGATTAGTTTCTTTAAAGTCACATACTCCATTTTATGCTACATTATACTGTATGCCCCAATCTCTTTTACAAGCTTTACTAGAGCTACATTTTCAGTGTAGTGTTATATTTCCCAAAGGGAAGGATTGTCTTAAAAGTCCCCCACCCACTCCTTGCATGTATTATATATCATTAACCTGATGCTTCCCCCAAAAATAAAAATAAAGAGGATAAAAGAGAAACATTCATAAAGAGACAACAATAAAATATGAGCATGGTCTAAAGCAGAGATCACCAGGCAGCCAGTTACACACAAAGGGAGTGGTTAAATGCAACAAAAAATCTAATCACTTGGCTCAGCTAAATGCCTTCTATTTAGAAGTCCAGTAAATGGAGTGGAACTTTCTTGAACCTCCGTGGGGCTTGGCTCGTAAGAACAGGCTGAGCAAAAGTTACAGATGAAAAAAGGGTAAAAAACAAAACAAACAAAAACGAAACAAACAAAAAAAGTTTTTGAAAAAAGGAAGGAGAAGGTTTGCTGCCACGCTGCAAGAGGAGGAACATTCCTCAAAGGGAAGGGCAGTGGCTGATGGAGAGCGAGGTGTTTTGCTTCACTTAATGCCTGCCGACAAGTTTTTATTTAAACTAAACTTGTTAAGGTGTTGTCTTAATAGGCTAAAATTCCACAGGGTTCCCCCAGGTGTGTTTCTTCTGGGTAAATGGTGCATGTAGTGTTCCTGATTGATCCCATTCCAGTAGTAGAGCTGGAGCAGTTTATGCCCATCTGCTATAAATTGCATGCTTTCCGCTTCTTAACAGCCTATTTTCTGTGAATGCTAAAGGGGGTGAAAAAAAGAGAAAAAAAATCTCAAAACATTTCAGCCTGAGAACCCAAGAAACCGTGTTATGAAGTAAAAGCCACGGCTCTGATGAGTTTCTAAGCTGTCCAGTAGCTCTGTGTATTAAAACACAACTCCTTAAGCTTCCTCTGACCACAATCAATGGGAATGACTTTGCCTTAAGTGTGCTCTTTTCTCTCCACTGCTCTGGAGGTACAACAGGTTTCAAGTTTACTCTTATTAACTGCTTTCAAGTGCTTTGAAAGAGAAGGAAAATAAACCAGGCAGAGTACCAAGACGGCTCAGCACGGAGGCTGCCTCTCAACACCATTTCCAAGTGTGAGAGGTTGCATTTAAAGCTCATTGCTACACCTAGACTCTTCAGAAAAATATGACAGGAAAAGTTACAGCAGGAATGAAAACAAAACAACAACAAAGAGAGAGAAAAAGACCTTATTTCTTTCTGAGAAAAAGCCCTTATCACTTCCACACTGGAGGTCAACTTCACCTTGGCTGCATTAACACCACTGTGTCTCAGGCTGCAGCAATTCCAGTGATACTTTGGGTATCAGCACAAAAGGGGGGACGTTTAGTTTGGTTTTTTTTCTAGATGCAGCAACTAAAGGAAGGAGAGGGAAATCTCAAGGTCACCCAGCTGCTCTGTGGTTCAGCTGGCAACAGAGGCCATGTCTCCCACATCAGCATTTCATACACCACCCACTCAACACAGTCCACGACTGGGAAAAGCTGCAGTTGATTTTTATGTTTAAAACTTGTTTTTATGTTTAAAACTTTCCGTGGAGTAAGACAGAAAACACAGCTTGTTCGGACAACAGTGCATCTCCCACCTAACCTCGAACTCCACCAGATGTCAAAGGCAAAGTTAAATATAATTCTATCTTGTTTTGGCAAACTGGAATCGCTTCTCTTCTTAAAAGAATTTCATTTGCATAAGGTTAAAGAAAAGATGGAGTACAAGGGTGTGGAGGTCAGAGGGATGCACATGTGGAGGGGAAACAGCAGGAGGTGGAGTGTAAATATTTCTTCCTCAAATCATGTCTGATTTCTGTGCAAACTAACTTTCCTTAAAACATCTGTGTTCACTCAAGGTATGCCTATATTTTCTTGTGAGAAAAAAAAATCTTGTGAGAAAAGAAAATCCACATTTGCACTGGCAAAAGGCTTAAGAAAAAAACAAAAAAAGACACTGTTTCATTTAGGTTATACAATCAGACTGCAGAGAATGCAGCTTAGTAAAACAATTAGACATTCAATTTACTATATAAATTCAGCAATTTCCACACTAACACTTCTACACTATTAAAACGAGTCTAATGATTTCCAAACTACTTCCCTCATTCTCTTGAAACAGAAACATTTCCTTTCCTTCTTTCTCAGCCTTCTATCTGCAAGATCTTACTACACATAATTATTTCACAGGAAAGTGGTAAGAGACTTGTGATGGGCACAGAATCAAACAAATTGAGGTAATCCACTTTTGTTTAAAGGTTGCCTGCTCTGAATGCAAAGGGCAAAACTCTCAGAACATTTGTATTTTAGGTGATACAAATGATCTCCTGAGTTAAATTCTCAACAGTAATCCTGTCTCAGGACAGAACAGCTCTGCTTGTTGCCATCTTTTGCTATATTATATATTAAATTCAGACATAATCTTTCACGCAAATGGCTACATGCACAATCTACAGGGGCTGCAGTTCTGTAAGTTAAGAATGCATTGTGCACACAACTGTATCACTTTCCTTTTAACCACAACTAATTAAATGCTTACCTTCCTACTCCTGATCAGTATTGAGGTCTACACCTCTATATTAGCCTCCAGTCCTGTACAGCTTTAGTTTTGATTTAAGACTGTTCTTCTGATTTAAAGCCCTCACCTGTAGCTTCCCTTTCCTCCATTTTTTACTAATTTTGCAGAGAAATAGCACTTGAGAACAGCATACACAAATTTGGGATTAAAATATTTCTTTATCAGGGAATCACATGTTAAAATTTCACTAAAAGGTGCTGAGGTTAGCTTCTTACTAGACATGGAGTTGTATTTTATTTTCCCAATCACAGTTAATCAAATTATAACAGAAATCTTTAAATATATATAAATACATACAGAAAAATCTGTACACAACAGTGCCACTTTACCCCCTGCAGACTTCTTGAAAGCCCTTCACAAAAGACATCACAATCATCAGAGAGTACAAAAAGATGTATCTATGATTAATACTTGAAATTTCATATGCCACAGGTGTCAGGGAAACAATTAAAAAAGTATTATTATTACTTATTAAATGGACAAATTTTGTTTTTTTCTGATTCATCCTATTGTCTGGTGAGATTTAAGTGAAGGTTTTGGTTGCAGCCATAATGGGGATTTTACTGCTCCATCCTAACAGCACAGCCTTTAAAACATGGGTTGCTTCTTATTGCAAAGACAGTTTCCTGGAGGCATTCATCATAAAGATATTGGATGCACTCCAGTCTCAGAGCTCACAGTCTTAAGTTTCACAATTTTTGTAAAATCTCCTTCTTGAGGTAAATATGTGAAGGAAAACACCTTCAACATTCTGCAGCATCTCTTTTTCCAGAACATATCCCCTAACGCAGAAACACTCTCTAACAACCTGGCATAAACAATTTAACTCTGCCTGGACAAATTCTGCACACGTTAACACCTTTGTTTATTCATATACATTAACATCCTCTCCTGTTTATAGCATGCCTCTTCTCCCACAGGACACAAAAAGCACTCAATAAACGTTACTAACAGTCCTGTGCAGACTAAATAGAGGGATTATTTCAGCCAGCACCACAATGCAGCCAGCCCTCAGTGTCAGAGCCTGCAGCTGAACCACTCAGGGCTGTGGGATTTTTAAGTGAGGAAGAGAAATTGGACCCAGCTGAAACTCTGAGGAGACTGCAGGTAGGCTGAATGTAATAATTTAGCTTGTGATGTGCACTGACAGTGAGGGTTTGTTTCGTGATAGAAGGGTGACATGAAATGTTTCCTCACTAATTCAGAAGCAGACAAACACCCCAGGTGTTTGTGCTCAGCACCAGAGGTCCAAGGCATTTCTTATTCTACACGTTCCATGCTCTCCACAGACACTTCAGGTCCTATTTCAAGAACCATATTTTACCTTGAAAACAAATTATGCCTGGGAGAAGAACCATATTCCCGAGTCTTAAGGCATCCATACTATCTGAAATTCTAGGTCTAAAGGAATTAACAGGAGTCTTTGTGCCACAAAAGTTTATCAGATTTGACTCCGCTGTGAGCACCTCCAACTTCATTGAAATATTAAGAACATATTTAAAGGTTCAACCAACACAGTTGGAGGTTGAGCAGGCTGGAAGGGACCATAATGAATTCTAACTCTATTCATAAATTGACCACAAAATTATTAAGTCTGATGCAGAAAATTTTGTTTTCTCCTTAAAGCCATGCAAATTATTTGAGGGCAGTTGGATGCACTGCTGTGTGTAATGACCGAATATAACCCACAAACATTTTAATAAAGAATATTTTTTACAATGATGTTGTGAAATCCAGAAATCTCAAAACTGAACTTGGAAATCATGGAGACAATAAACATGGCACCTCATAATGCTGTTTTTCCAACAGAATCCTTCTCCAGATTAGACTGCATTTGAACCCTTCATAAAATATTATTTATAGGGTGTTAAAAAGTTTCTACACTGTAAAAACAATACTTGTTATTATGCACTTGGTGTTTACCTATTCTTGCAAATGCTCTTCATAAACTAGAGCATTTTTTCCTGTTTTGATGCTACAGCCAATTTGCTGTGCTTAAGAGAACAAAAGCAAAATTTTTTTTTCTCCACATAGGCATCAAAAATAAATTTAAACATGGAATCAGGGAATTGTTTGGGTTGGGAGGGATCTTAAAGGTCATCTTGTTCCAATCCCCCTGCCATGGGCAGGGACACCTTCCACTAGACCAGGCTGCTCAGACTCCCATCCACCCTGGCCTTGAACACTTGCAGGGATTTACCCTGGAAGATTTACCTTTTCTTTAAGGTAAATCTACCACACAGACCTCACCAGTGCTGAATAGAACAAACATTTCACTGATTGTTTTTGCCACACTAAACACCACCTGCCAGAAACCAGTAGGAAAAAAGGCAGGGGAAGCCTAGGAAAAAATTAAAATAAAGGGGAAAAACCTCAGGAAGAATTGCTCCAGCACTAGGGACTGACCTGAGGCAAGCTGCAAACACTGCTTTATTTCTTAACTCTAAACAGAGTATCAGAAGTAATGGAAGTAACTGTGCGAATGGAAGGAACAGATTCATCTTCAGCCACTTCTCCATGTGATGAGCAACAGCACTCAGCCAGAAAGAATTTCCTGCTCTGCAAAACCACAAACATTTGTAGAGCCAAAGGGCATTGTTCTTCTCAGTGAATAGTCTCAAACTATTTGAATGCCTAAAGCTAATGTTCTTATGAGTTACTGTTATTTAGTCAGCACATTGTGAAACCCTGGCCAGGTGAGAGCAGCAAACAACTACAGGCAGGGTCCCCACCCTCAGGAAACTGAGAGTTGTGGCAGTGATCCTGCCAGCAGATGAGCGTGGACAGACCAAAGAGGGTGTCCAGTGGAGTGAATGGTTCTTGCTGCTGCTGCACGTCCCCAGCAGCACAGATGTTGTCTGGGGAGATGGGTCCACAGGACAATGCTGAAAGCAAAAGCAAGGAAGTGAGAGGTACTACTAAGAAAACAGCACTGTACAAATTCAGAGAGAGTGGAATGGAATTAAAGAATCTTAGAAGAACACATCATCGAAGTGCAAACAGAAAAAAAGAGACACCGCCCTAAAAAGGAGCACAAAATCCCTGGGCTGGCACCAGCAGAGCATATAAAGATGTGGAGCAATATCACCACAAAAATACAGAAAAATCCTGCCTCTTGATGCCACTGAGCTCCCACAGTATTTCAGGTTTTAGAGACAGCTTAGGTGTCTCTGTATTCAGATTTTGGCTAGTTGATTACCCACTAAGTTTTAATAAACATAATCTAAACATAACCTGGAAATGACTGGCATAAGGACAGAAAAATACATTATGATGCTAGTAATGAAAACAAATTGATTAGTTTTAAAAAATAATCAAAACAACTTTATTTTTTGTACTTACCCCATTTTACCTCCCCCCAAAAAAATAAAATCTAACTGAAACCCAACTTACGTTCCCAAAAGCTCCTCGTGCTTTTTGTTATCCTTTCTCCACACCTCAATGTCCAACATATCCTTCCTGTCAGAGAAGTAGTGAAAATCAAACTGTTCCCTCCACTGAGGATTTGCACTCTTACACAGTGTCTAGAAAACATGCAGTTATAATATTTACTTTTCTTAAACAGTACTTATTTTCACAGTAAATCAAAAAGAAGAAAAAAGAAATCAATTCTACAGAACAAGGCTGGATCTTAGAGCATCAAGTACTAATGCCATTCCAACCAAAGCTCCCAGCCCATCACATACAGTCTCATCTTCCTAAATATTCTCTTTCCTCCCTCTCAATAACAATAAATATACAGTTGTTATCTGAATGAATGGCTGGAAAAATTCTGAAATACAAGGTAGACCCCACCAGCTCCATGGTCATCATTCACCATCACACCCTGGAAGAAATCAGGAACAACCCTTTTGAGGACAATCACCTGGAAACAGGTTTGAATGCATTAAGGAACCCAAAGAAGTATTTTTTCACCCGTCCATGTTAAGCAACAGCTCAGCCTTGCAGATTCACAACACATCTATGGACCATTAAAGAGACACATAAAAAGGGATTGTAAGGGGGATAACATCTATTTATTCTAAAGTAACTAAGCCATTTGTTATTTTTCAAAACTACTTTTCTAAATAAAAAACATATCATGACCTTGGTTTGAGGTCTGATGTGAGGGACAGAGTGCAGGTTTCAGATGCGCCTACATCCAAATGTTATGTTCTGTGAACTTGCTCTGTACATTTTGTACAGGAGGAGGTTTGTTTTCTCCTCCTCTGCACTTCCAGTTCATGACATGCAGAGCTCTTGCTCTCTCTCAAAAGAGTATTATTTTAATTATAGCCTTTCTTCTTATTAGATTTTCCAGATGAAATGTGTATCTTTGGGAACTCATTCATTTCTTAGACTCTTATACAACTGAACTGTATGCAGATAAAAACAGCCTAGAAGAATAAAAATTAATATCAAAACCACGGAGCATTTTATCTGTTTGGGAGGCAAGTTCTGCAATATGTAACATATTTTTCAAGAAAAGTACTTTAAAAGACTAATAATTCCCTGAACTGGAAACCATTTTAGGTCTACTTTTCAGCACTGAAAGCCCAACTTCTGTATTGGCAGAGAACAAAACACATGTGTGATGCATGTAACTTTATTTCATTTCATATTAATGTCAAACATCCATCAACATGATAAATATGTTAAATGCACAAAACACTGATAACACACAATATTCCTAACTTGCTCTTTCTCTACTGGCATCAAAACAGAGCAAAATGCTCTGGTCTTGTCTCCAGCACCTTATTGACTTCAGACAACTTAAGGAAATCCTTAATACTTACCTTGCTCTTGTATCTTTGATCCCCCAGTTTGAGGAGAATAAAAATCTCTGCCAAGCCCCCTCTGGGCATGTTCTTGCCCTCCAGGAGGGTGATGGTGACCAGCCCGTTCCACAGCTGGTTCTTGCGCAGGGACTCCGAGAGCCGCAGGTTCCGTGTGAAACTCGACTGAAAAGCAAGGCACAACACGGAATGCTTCAAGACCCAAACACATTTTCATGCTCACGTTAACTGAGCTATGAAAGCACACCAGGAGTGAGAAGGACACCATGGTTCCCCTAAGGGTAAGCAGGCAACGGAAGGCAGTAGGATGCTATGGATTTTCTGCCCAACTGTCCTACGGTCCCTGTGAAGGGACAGTGCTCAATATCACAGCAAAACCAGCAGGGTTTGCTTAAACCACCAGAGAAGTCAGCTCAGCTATCCTGGCTGAGCTGTGGCAAGAGCAAACCTCAGGCACTGAGAGCAGTCTGGTACCTTGGCTCAGGGAAAGGCACAGGAGAGCCATGGGAATGGAACAGGGGAGAAACTAAAGTAAACTCTTAAAACCTCTCCAGCTACGTCCATAAAATGCAGGTCTGTCCTTTCTGGGGAGCCCGGGATCGTAAAGCCCACGGCCAGGTGAAAGGCTGAGCAGCATCTTCCACCTCCTCCATCACTCAGCCTCCCACCTTAGCTCTTTGCTAACTTTGCTGTTCCTGCTTCCAGAAACTGAGCCCACGAATCAAAAATACTGATGCCTGCTGAAAAAACACTGACACCACCAGGCTCTTTATCTGGAGTTATGGTTACCTGGTAGCCACATTTGTTACCTTCGCAGCTTCATCTTTTGCAGCACGGCTGCGCTAACAGTTTGCTAACTGGCAATATTTTATTGGACAGAGGATGATTAAATAGGCCTTTATTTGGGGGGAGTGAGCTGGAAACATTAAAACTCAAGGCTATACTCTTCTTCCCGCAGTAAAAATCCTGCCATATTTTATTCTCCTGAAGCAACTTTTAACTCGCCACACTTTGGAGCTTCAATCATGTCATGTACAGGTGGGAGCAAGACGGAGGAGAAGATTTCACAAGTCACTTTAAAACAGGACGTGTTAGCTTTAAAAGCAAGTAAGAAATGTTGTTGCTAAATAAAACGATTGCAAAAGCACCTGATGTCTGAAGATTACTTTTTATGGATCAATTACCCAGCAACAAAATTCCTAAATCATAGGTGGTGAACTCACAAATTTTTTACTTGCTTTTTACTGGTTAAAATATCGAATTCTGAATCCCACAAGCATATTAATATACTTCTATTTAAACACCCTGTTTGGCTGTCCTGGCACAATGGGTAAAAATTCCTACCTTTAAAAAGAAAACGAGATTTTGATTCATAAATCCAGCTGCAATGTAATTTCTTTTCTTTACTCTTCTTTTTTTTTTTTTTTTTTTTAAAGTTCGTCTTTTGGGCCAAAAAGCTAAAGCATGACTGTTCCCATGGACATACTTCAAAGTCCCAGCAGATATACTCCTCCCTAAACACTGCAACTATTTCAAAATCCTTTTTATAAAAAAGGGAGTAATGTCCACAAGGGATCAAAGGGCATTCTACAGTCTGGCAATCGCCTTAGAAAAATGGCAGTGCTTCCATGAAATATGCCCTAAAATAATTTTGCAGCTTGGTATGTCCTAATTTCGAATTGGATGTTTATCTTGGAAAGGCTTCTATCTAACTTGTCCATAAAACAGCTCCACTTAGCTCTATGAGCCCTGTGAAAATGGAATCCAAAGCTGGCTATTAAGGGGGCCTGGAGATTGCTTCCATATGGCGTAACAGCATGGGAGTGGAGGGCTAAGGCCTACAGCAGGCGCTGCTTGGCTTGAGCTCCCCATCTATCCATGGACACTCATTGCATTACACCATAACATCTGGATTATTGCTTGTAATGTCCCTGGGAAATATCCACTTCCCATCAAAGCCTTTATCTATCTCGCTTGTACTTTGAACATTTTAGTATTTAACATAGTCATGTTTGATGTGATGTACTCGCTGCTTTAGGAGCAAGGATTTTCCCTCCCCCTCCTGCTCCTTCCTCGGAGGAGGAAGAGGTATTTGATGTTAGTTCACAAAAAAAATTTAAAAAAATAAAAAACAGATGAAGTTTATTATCCACGTTACAATTTCTTTTAAAAACAAAGCATCCAGCTCTCTTCAAAGCTCCCAGGCTGAACACGAAAGACAGTTGTTATCACTCAGTTTTCAAATCAAACTTGGATTCTTTTCTTTTTTTCATCCAGGCCAGTATTTCAGGGAGTCACTCAGCGTTGGGGACCTTCCTACCCCAGCTCTACAGCACACATAACCCCACCCTTGTAGCTGCTGACTTGACAGTTCAAAGGACTGTTGGGAGGTACCCAAACCAGCCTGGATCCCACACAGCCCCTAGAAAAATCAGCACCTGCACTCAGGATTACTGGAACGCATTGCAATGCACCAACCCTGACCTCCCAAAACAGGTGGCCCCAAGCAAAGAGCCTCGTGCACCCCCTTCTCTGGCTGTGCAGCTGCTCTGTGCTCCTCTCAGAACAGGGCTGTGCTGGTCTCCAGCTAACAGGACCTGCATGAGATCCAGCATCACTTGAGAGCATCCCACTGCACAGAGGAGCCAAGATGTTTGCAAATGGTTCAGGGCACGGTGCTGACCTGCAGCAGCTCCACGCAGGCTCCACGGCTCCCACAGCTTCCCCAGTCCAGCCCTGCCACTGGCACAGGGCTCTCTCCAAACTGAGAATGGGAAGGCTGCTTGTCTTACACCCCTGCAAGACACAGCACATGAGGAATGCTTTGGATTTCCTGGACATGCCCAGGTCGCCCCCACAGAGTCTGCTCAGCAGGTCTGGCACATTTCCTGTGCCTCGCAGCACCAAAGAGCCCCTCTGTGCTTGCTCTGTGGCCACCTCTCCAACCTCCCCAGGTATTTGGCAGGCTGTTCCTCTGACCACCCTGATGGAAACCCCAGTGAAACAGGCAGTGTCTCAGATTCCACTCACAGTTTCTGGAAGGAAGCACGTCTGGGGAAAATCAGATGTGTGGTAGACCCACAGACCCAGGCCTTCAATGAGTCAACTTTAGTGCTGCCTAGGGAAGCCTGCACTATGGAAAATGCCTCCCAGGTGACAAGAAAATGATATTACCTTATTTATTTTAGACTTACCTCCTCTCTGATACCCCACACCTACTCATTTCAAACTGATTTACACAGAGCTAATTGATTCAACTTCACAGCCTCCCTCTGAGCTGGCAAAACTATTGCAGAGCAGAGCACAGAGGAGCACAGCCTTTAGTCCAACAAAGTTACTCAGGCAAACAAGCACTGAAAAAAAAAAACCCCAAATACTCTTCCTTGCCTCCAACCAGCCTCCTAACCTGCCTTCACAAAAGCAAAAAAAAAAACCCCAAATACTCTTCCTTGCCTCCAACCAGCCTCCTAACCTGCCTTCACAAAGAGACCAGAAAAGCCAAAGCTCTGGTCCAAACTGGCCAGGAAATGAGGACACAACTGCTTAATCAGTAACAATTTTGAAGTGTTTTATCTATTCAGCTCTTCCTTTTGCTGTTACCTCCCAGGCTACTGATGCCTCCAGACTTGGGTACTGCAGCTCCTCCCCAGCTGAACCTGAGCCCTTTCCAGCTGGGCTTTCACACTGGATGCCAGGTCCTTCAGGCCTCTCCTGCTATATTTTCCTGTAAGCTCCCTGCTCACACTCTGGCTACATCCCAGACCCAAGTAAAGGTGCCTGGAAATTAAAAAACACATGATTTATGATGGAAGCTGGCACATGTCCCAAGCACAAGGCATTGGACAAACTTGCTTATTCCTTCCCCTCATCGTTTCTGAAATCGAGGTAGCCTTGAGAGCAAAATTTGAGGGTTGTCTCTAGACATCCTAGAGCTCTGATTTTGGCTGGGCTCTGTGTACATATAAGCAGTAACACCATAAAGGTTGCCTTTATGAGCAGTTCACTGCTGTAAAATGGATAAAAACTGGAACTAAAGACATCCCTCAAACAAGCCAGCCAGGGGAAAAAAAAAAAAAAGGCAACAAAAAACAGACAATAAGCACTAAAATATCCAGAGATCCTTATTCCTTAGAACTAACTACATGATTTTTCAGTTTAAGAACCCATATCCACTGCAGATTTTGGACTGTATCTCATCAGATAGGTAAAGAGTAATCTCTGAAGCAAAAGTATGGCCCGGTCATAGAGCAGGATCCTGCCACAAAAGGACCAGAAGATGGTTCTTCTCCCAGTTGCTTAGAAAGGGAGAAAAATTTACCCAGAAAGATTCCCATAGCTCTCAACAGAAAAATTAAAAATCAGTGTTCACATCACCACTCTCAAAATCTTGTTCCTGGTTTCAAAATGAATATAAAACTTTCTAACATCAACTTTCAATTTTTTATCACTTTCTGGTTCTGGTTTAAAAAAGAAGAATGAGCAGGTGGGCTATATTCTGCCTTCACAGAGCCAAATACAGGAGCTGAACAAGAATGACAGAGCTTTGGAGGGGAAAGAACCGGCTCATTGACCTAGCTTCACAAAATCCTTTAGGAGCTCCAGTCTCCCTGATAACTCCATTTGTCCATAATCTCCCTCTATAGGCACCCAGCAAATCCCCTCTGGTGCATCAGGGCTGCTTTCAAATCTGTCTCTTTTCCTGACACACACATACATGCCCCAAGTTCAAACTTGTTTTTGAAGCAATAAAGAGATGCAGAAAAATTGTACATTTAAATGACACGGCGAGGTGGCCAAGTGTGAAGTGAGCCCATCTCTCCCATCTTTCATTTAAAAGGATGAGACAGGACAACAGAAAGCCTGCTGCAATCCCTGTGAAGAGGTCAACGTCAAAACTGGGCCACGTAATTTGCCATTTGAGAAAACAACAACACACAAATAGGAGGACTCTTTGGACCTCTCCTCATTAGGCAGAGAAACCATTTCTGCAGAGGCAGTTTCCCCCTGGGAAAGAGGAGAGGGCAGTGGGAAAGGCAAGTGAACCAACACAAGATTGGCACCACGACGTGTGACCCTGTGGCGAGCGAGTCCCCGCGCTCCGCGCTGCCCACGGGGGATTGGGGGAGAGAGCCAAACACAATGAGGCAGACAAAAATGAAACCTAACAGCCCACACAGGAACAGAAAAAAAAAGAAGAAAGGAGAGTGAGGGATTTTCCCCTGCGATGAGATGCTCGAGGAGCCCTTGGGTCCGGTCAGCCTTTCAGCCAATTTATTCAATCAGCTTAAGCTATCAAGGTGGCAATTCCGTCGCTTTTGTTTCAGGACTGAACTGCTGCAGGTCAATCCATCCCAAGCAGACCTGCTTATCTGCCTCCTCGATGTTCAACACTTAAAGGTTATTCAGCTGTACAACTGCTGGAAAGAGCGTGCAGGGCACCCAGGGTGAGACTCAAGCCACCCGGGACAAACAAGGGTACTGAGCATCAGCATGCTGGGCTGCAGCACAGAGCTACCAACTCCCTCTGTGCCCCAGAAAGGAAAGCAGAACAGAGGAGAGAGCATGTCAATACACAGATATGAGTGAATATATTAATGCTGCCTAACAGCATCCTCTTCCCTTTGCAATGCCACCCTCCACAAGGAAAAGAAGAAAGCCATGCTCTTGAAAACAGCTCCCACGGAGGACAATGCTGTTCTCAGCTCCCATGAAAAATGAGGGATCTGAATGTGCTGCCCATGTCTGGGGAATCCGCCCAAATATGCAATGATTCCCTTCCAGCAGCAGTGAAAAATATATACTGTGTAATAATCAAGAGACACCTAAATCATGCAGTTCAACAGCTCTTGCTCCAAAATTATTTAAAAGACCATACTGAGTTGCTGGAATCCTTTCTGCATACTCCCTGTAATGACCATGAGGCTACTGGAGCTGGACTGGAGATCTTGTGCTGATGCTGTTTTTGCTGCTGTCTGAAATGCAGCTCTTTCTCCAAAAAGCAAGGGAGCTCAGAGAACACACATGAAGAGAGCACAGTATCCACAACAGCTCACATGAGCCTTGCTGCCAGTCTGACATGGAGCTGCAACAGGTATCAATGCCATCAACATTTGGGGTAAATTTGGGAAGTCAGCAAGAATCCCGTGATTAATGTGAAAAGACTCATTTAGGACACTGATGTGCCAAATCTGCATTAAGACAACACAAAATGGTCAAATTAGAGGATAATCAGATTTCTTTCATGTAGGCAATACAGATTAAAAAACAGCTGTGAAAGTTATATTCATTTTGTCCATCCTTAAAATAAATCATTTTCCCTGTATTTATAGAAGAGGAAAAGCTAAATATTACAATAGGGGTCAGCTGCAGTTCAGCACATTAAAAAAAAAAAAAATCCAGGAAAATTATTTCCAATAGAAAACTTTTATTTGCCTAAACCTGGAGAGAGGAAATTTAGATGTTGCTCAAATGGAAAGTATACTGTGTTTTCCCCCTACAACACCCAACAAGAGTCACCTCAGGAGCCAAAAAACAGACAAGCCTGTGTACCCATTACAGAGCTCTCTCCATTTCCCCTGCACTCCTTATTCCTGTATCTTTATCTCGTCCAGCAACATTGTTTTCTACCCCATCATACTCTCTGGCTATTCTTCCATAACCTCTTGTGCCTTCCCTAGACACCTATATTCCCCATGCACACAATTTTTCTTCCTAGCCTTTATGTTCTGCCACAAACTGCTAGTACTGCTTCCACAGAGCAGAGTTTCCTAACTAAAGATGGTTATTGATGTACAGTACTAGTGTTTTAGTGCAGTAGCAGAATCAATAAACCAGGAAATACTGCTTTGTCAGATTTTTTCCAGCGCATGCTGGGAAATATTTTTTACTGCCTTTGGATGGTCACAGAGGTTTTCTTTAGAGATCACACTGGAGCATGAACTGTGTCTTCCCTAGGAAGAATTGAAGCTCTCCTACCCTCTAGTGACTGGAACAGAACAGAGCACAGGGTTGAAGATTTTTTCCTTTTAAACAATACTTTCATGTCTCCTAAATCAGCATCACACTTCAGCATCTCTTAATTTTATTTTGAAAGGTGGTAAGGCACAAGACAGAGCCTTGAGAGCTGAAAGGCTGACAGCTAAAGGTCCAAAAACATGTATGCAAAAAAAAATATATAAAAGGCAATGAGATATTGCGTAAAAGCAAAAAGAAAAACCAAACCAAAAAAACCTAAACAAATGGAAAAACAACCACCCCAAAACTTCCAGTAACAGCAACCAAAACAGAATTTTGGCTGCTCTGAAGAAAAAGAACCTGAGTTTAAAAACCCAACTCCCTTTCCCAGGTCCCAAAGCCAAGCAGCACCCAGAGACAGCTGTGGGAGAAAATTGGGGATCAAGCAACACTGACCGAGCCAGAGCACAGTCATTTCCAGAGTTTTAGTTAAAAACTGAAGTGATAGGCTCTTCAGTTATTCCATCAATATCTATCATGTGGCATTCAGGCATTCCTGGCAGCTCTCTGCTCCAAGCACTGCAATATCCCTGCAATCAGGGCTCCAAAGGCTGTACTTTGCACTTCTTCTATTGACAAAAACATTCTTGCTGGCACAGTACCTGAGATGGTTGGCTCCTCTACACAGCACACCACAGTTGTAATGAATAAAACAAGAGGAGGTTAATGATTCAATTTATTTAGGCACAAACCGATAGTTACAGAGGGAAAATATCATGAGAACACACTCATCTTAAGAGCCAAATTCTGCTTTTCAGAGACTGAGACTATACAACTCTCAAGCTGGGTACTGGGGCTTGCAGTGTCTATATCATTGTTATTTACTCAATAGCAAATTAAAGCTTTACAGAACACATAAAAAGCCACAGTCTGTTTCCTGAACAAGTTAAAATCTAATGCAAAAATGATACAGGAATATAAAAGTAATGGAAGCCTGCCGGGATCCTACAGGAGACCAAGGGAAGCAAGTTACACTGACATGTGGCAACACACAAATCTTGGAAATCCTGTTACAATGGAGGTAATGAAAACTCCCTGCTCAGCCTCCATCCCAAGAACAAAAGGAATTTCAAAATCCACAGGGGCAACCAGAAGAAATACTGCCCCACAAAATTCCACCCATGGTGAGAGGCAGCCCCAAAGACAGACGGGGATCCAGGAGAGCCTCGTTCAACTCGCACACCAACCACCGTCCAGGTGTTCTGAAACAACTCAAACCCTCCACAGCTCCTCTCATTTTGGTTAAATTTACACCCCTTTCTTTTGTACAGAAAGTTTTTCTCTCTTTCTACAGCTTTTTGTGAATGGGGTCTTACATTCACTTGCCACTAGACCCTACCACGGCACCTACAATTAGAAAACAACAGCAATTTCCCATCACAATGAATAGAAAAATCAAAAAAGCAAAGGTTACCACAGCCATTATATTGTGACAGGTTGCCTCTACACTTATGAGTTTTCCTTTGTTTAGACTGTTTCAGAGGAGGGCACAGATTTTGGGAGGGGACCTTCATTTTCTTTAAGTAAAAAAAAAAGTATTACCTTGGATGAAGTTCTTTTCTTTCGACTTGACCATCTCTGTTCATGAGTCCCCATTATTGTACCAAAGAGAATCCAGGGAAAGGGAATAGGTAAGGAACAAAATGGGGAAAGTGGTTAGTAAAATAATTCAAACAGAAGCTTGTCAAATGAGTTAGAAAAACCTATTACAAAATAGAGGGCTAAATCTACAACTACATCTCTATCTACCTTCCCTGCTTCATGGAACATAACAATCAACAAACTCAAAATACCTGCATTGCACCAAAAAAAAAGAGGCAATAAAAAAAAAAGTAATTGAGAATAAAAAGTGGAGGGACCCAGAGCCATTAGTAAGAAACATAGCTTATACTTTTGGTGCCATCTGGTTCTACAGTAAGCTAATTTAAAAAGGGGGAAAAAAATCATCTTGCTGTTAAGTGCTAATGTGGACAGAGCTATTTCACTGTTCTGACTCCTTTGGAAATGGCTGAGCAATCTGCATTTGAAATATGAGGGCTTAAAACATTGTCTTTTAAAAAAATTACAGTGTGCACCAGCTCTTCTATCATCTACATTCTGAATGTTAACTAAGCACCCAAGAGTACCAAAAGCTGCTACTTAAACCAATAAGTTTTGTTTCACTGGCTAGGTCCACTTTAGCTCAGGCCTTAATAAAAAGTCATAGAATTCCTGAGGTTCATCTGACTAAACTGACTTTTTTGCTAAAGTAACTTTACATTTTTGCTTCACCCCTTCCTGCAATTCAGTAACACATGCCAACAGTGCTGATTGTACAAGTTAGAGGGGAGTTCACATTCCAAATAAAACCCACCTCATATTATAGACATATATAAATACACCATTATTTTAAATATTGTCATTAAGCTTTCAAATAATCACATAGTGAAGTAAAATTAACTCTATCATTACTTTGTTATTAGTTAAGGCTTTACAATTCTCAAAAAGGCATCTATTTGAAAAATAAATAATGAACAGCAGATATTCCATATTAGCTTCTTCTCATTTTGCTTTCCAGCCCCTTGAAGCATTTATGTTTCTATAAATAATCCCATTCAGGCTGGAATTCCATACCTATAATTCACTAAAGTGCTGTAAACAGCAAGTTTCATACTTGACTTTGCAGAAAACTTGTAGAAATATTTTCTCTTAATATGTATTACACACGTTTAAAACTAGGTCTGGTTTTTAAGACAGTCCAAGTAACTGCCTGATCTTGGGTATTCTCCACCCCTTGCTGGCCAGGAGCAGAATTAGTTCACCAATATTTGTGTGCTGTACACGCTGTATAAAACACTAGGAGGAAATTTTAAAAATAGAAGCAAAAAAGGCACACGTAGGACCGGAAATTAAAAAAAAAAAACTTTCAGCTTCAGTTATGGTGTTCCCAGTCTTTGCCCAGCTTCTCTGCATTTCTAACATCACTAATCACTACATTTCTGCATCAGGAGCCAAGTTCAATTAACTCAGTGAAGAAACTGTCAGTGGGAAGATCAGGGTTTTACAGGCAACCACCTCCTCTCAGCCTGGTGCTCCTCCACAGGACTGGGGAAGTTTAAGTCTTATAATTCATGCTCAGTTTTTAGATTTCACATGGATAAGTTGTTTCATTGTTGTAAAAAAAAAAAAATAAAAAAAGGAACTATAACAGCTTTTCTTCAACCTGCCCATTGCAGTGCTGGACACAGAGCACACCACAGTGACAAGACAGAAGCATCCAGCTACAAATGTCTACACAGCTATAACCCAGCTAAATACAAGGCTTTTTTTTTTTAAAGTTATGCTCTATCTCGATTTCAATATTGAGTCTCAGAGGATGAAAATAAAGGTGGCATTTCCCAGTAAATCAGATTATGCCAGCTCTTCTTTTCTACCCCCTACAAATTCCAGCTATAAATTTGATTTCCTAAGCCACTTACATTTCTCTTGAAGTCTCCTTGCTTGACTGCTAGACTCAAGTTTAATACAATCACTCCCATGTCATCTTCTAAACTGTTGGGATCTTCCAGTTTTAAAACCTGTTCAGTAGTTCTACAAGGCAACAGAAAAAAAGAAAAACAAAGAAGTTGTGCATTTATTGACTCCAGTTAACTCGAGTTGATTATTAAAGGTCAGGCTGAGCTGTGCAAATTTCAGCTTCTTGTCTGAAATTCCCAATATTGAGTTTAAATGTTAAAATGGGAAATCTGGAGAGTTCTTTCTTGGTTCTGACAAAATACACCCCCCTTTTAATAATGCAGCACAGTGCTCCTATAGCACTGCTCACTACTCATAACTCTCCATATGCAGGTACACACTGAATTAAGTTACCACTACCTCCACTACACAGAAGAGTGACAGGGAAACTCATCCAAGTGAATCTTCTAATATTAATGGTTTGCATTTGACTCCAGAGATATTTATTCTGCCTTCTTTTAAACCCCCTCCATGACTGTTCCCTTGCTGAAAACAGGAATGCTGGTATTTACCTGGTGGCACTATCTCATGGACAAATTAACATTTCTAGAAATTCAGATACAACAGCCACGGGAGCTACAACAGGGAGAACTCATTTTCCCCCCCTCCCAAAAAAGTCATCGCGCAGCAAGGGAGTATAAAAGAAACAACTAAAACTTGAATTCCTGGCTTCCAGCTCCACACTGAGCCCAAGCAGCAGCAGCAGACAAAAGGCACAGGGCTTGCCTCGGCACTAAATCAGGGCCAGATGCAGCTGCTGCAGGCAGGGATGGATGAGGGGGAGGCTGGAAAAGGGGCACTGGCAACCGGGCAAAACCTCCCCAGCCCCAGAGAAAGGCACCCCACGGGGTCCCAAACCTTCTCTCCCTCTTCCTTCTTCCACCTCCACAAACTGTCCTGGCGTGGCTCTCCCTAAGCAATGCTGCACACAGAAATTCTTAGTCCCTGAACTGGGCTCTGTCCTGGCTGAATTTGAATCCAGTGCATAAGGCTGGATAGAAACATGTGCAGAAGATTTATCTCAAATGATTTCTTTTGAAAACCCCGCTCTTCTATCAAAAATAAGTTTTCACTAATTGAAAAATTCCAAGCCAGAAAAAAAGCATTTCACCACTTCTCTCTGTTTCTCAATTAAGCTGCATTAATAACCTTTAATTAAATGAACTGTTACCTATTGAGTTCAAGTTCAGTGAGCGCCACAGATGCCGAACCCATGAAGTCTGAAGAGGTTAAATCACGATCATACACCTGGTGGCAAAATAAGACAAATATTTCCAATTTTCACATCATAAGCCAGTTTTATCCCGGGCGATGAAAGAAGAGATATTTTAAGCCCTTTCAGTTCAATTTTGTATTTGAAAGATCAAAGCTTAGATATAATTCAGGGATCACTTTCCATCTCCCTGCTTTAATTTGTATTTTTAGCTAAATATTTAACCAGCATTTTGAAAGTATCTTCTTAATATTATGTAAACAGAGACATGTGTGCTGCTATGGATTGTGCCTGCTCCTTTATACTCCACACGACAGCATAATGAAACGCTGCACAAAAATCAGGTACTTGTGCTTACAGATGTTTTAGCAATTAGTGCTCACAACTGGTAGCTTGTGGTTCTGGTAACTGTAACGTAACTCATAACCAGAAAAGGCTTTGCTACTTGTCACGGCTACATCCCAGGTAATAATTCTGCGCAGCCCAGCCAAATTGCACTCCTAAAACGTGCTTCTGAAAATGCCCTTGGTTTCCCTGAGTTTGCACAAGCACGGGGGGAGAGAGGGAGAGAGAGCAGAATTCAGCTCCACGGCTTTAAACAGATCCAGTCAAGGAGTTTTATTTCAAACTTGGGTTTTTGCAGACGGAAAGCAAAACATGCAAGTAAAATCTGGGAAAGACATATGTGCATTTTAATTTGAAATTGCTGAAGCTCTTAAACTGGATTGTGTTTTATGCCGTGCTGCTACAGCGAATAAAAATCAATATGTTTCTAAAGTTGAAAATAATTGCTTAAAAAAATATTGGGCAGTCTTTCAAAAATCTGAGAACGAAACTTACCTTGATCCAGAGGTTTTGATCGAGGGTCTGTATGGGCAGCACAACAGTTTCATCCCAAACTGGGTTGAGGTTCTTGTAGACTACCTTACTTTTGTAAAGAGTTTTGCCATTCAGTTTAAACTTCACATACGGGTCACTTGTACCTGTGATAATTAAAAAATAGATTAGCATCAGCACCGTATGCAACTCCATAACCTTAAACTATATTTTCATAAAATAATTAAGAACAGTTAATTGTAATTACAGATACATGTATATACTTAATTACCCATATAAAAACTGCTCATTCAATCTACAGGCAGAGCCAGAAAGTTGCCCAAAAGCAGGCAACAAAAAAAACTTCATTGTTTGCTTGATCTCTGCTGTTTTATTCTTAAGAACATTAACTGTTGTTTAACAACTCTGTTAAAATTTTAATTTGGTAAAAGAGCAAACGGAAGCAGCATTGAAGCACTATTTACAGGCCAACTAATGACACAGTAGAAAAGAGAAAATGTGATCCTGTGACTAGGAATATATTCAAAGGACCCAAACTCCAAAGCATCGTAACTGGGATAGGAGCTCCAAGGAAACCAGTAACAATAGCTAAAATACCCGTCAGGATTTCATCACTGGTGTCACTTTGCCAATTTACTTAAAACACAATTTGAGGTTTCAGTGAAAAAAACAGCAATGTTATTCATCAGCTCAGGACAAAAACACACAGAGAACAGACTCTGTAAAAACAAGCACTGTCCAGGTATCACGTTTTTCAATCCAAGTGGCACAATTTGCCACAGCAATAATGTCCCCTGTTTTTATGGAGCAGATGTCCATGGACAGAGCGTGAGGCTCGTGCCACTCGGCAGCAATAGAAACACTTGCATCTGTCAAAGGAAAACAGAAGAGGGAATCAACTTTTTATTATTGTTATTATACTGGTGGCATCTGCACTAACACCAACCACCGTGCAGGACACCGGGAAAGAGGGGGAACAAGGCACAGGGAGGATTTAACTAGAGGACGGTTGATTTCGTTATTTATACAGGCTTTGCGAAAAAAAAAAAAAGAAAATCTTCACAGGCTGAAAATAAAGGGGAAAAATCAAACTAAGATATAGCAGCATCTACAATTAACTGAGCCTAGCTGCCATTCACCTGTCATAGCCAGTATTTTCTGTATTGTACGTGATAGTTGGAATTAAACTTCCCCCCCTAACAGTTCAATTTCACTACAAGGGTAACAGCTAAGGTGGTGGTCCTGGCTGGCCCCAGCCTGCAGCGAGGGCTGCTGGAGGAAAAGACTGATTTCTACAGCAGACTTCAGAGTCAGAAATAATCTGAACCTGTCCTCCCTGGTTCCCACTGGCCCGACAAACACACAGCAGTCCAGGATAACCCAGCCTAAGAGCAATACCCAGTCTTGCCAATGATTTGGTGCACCTGTGAGGATGTGAAAAATCCATATTTAAACATCCAAAGCTCTCATCAGTGTTATGTGAAGACAGACTTAAACTCAAGAAAAAACAATCATGTGTAAGCATCTATTTGGAATTAGGCAGCACTGTAAAGAACTGTGCTCCTGGGAGACAGACATATTTCTAAGAATTATAGGAAGTTTTTATTCTGCATTAATTTCAAAAGGGAAGAGTTGTAGAATCTGGTCCATTCTGTGCATAAAGTGTGCTTCACTCCCAGAAGGAAAATACCAGTTGGCTTTCAAATACTGTCTGCAGTTGATCCTTTTTCTGAATAATAAATGTTGAAAAAAAACCACTTTTTTTTTGGTTAAAAAAAAAAAAAAAGCTGTAGACTTCTTAAACAGAATTTTCTTTTTCTTCTCCTCTAAGAGAGACTAATAATAAGGGCCTGATCGAAAGCCAGGAAAGTCAGAGGGCAGCTTTTCATTGTTCCCAGTGGGTTAGGACTAGACCTTTCCCTAAAAATTTCTCAGAACTATGATTATACTCTTACACAAAGCATCCAGCTTAAAACCAGCACAATGTCCAGGAGTGGGAACACACAGATAGATCACAGCCACACAGTGTGGGGGGGCAGCAGTCCTCAGAAGGTGCAGAATTAAGAAATAACAGCACTTAAGTTCTTTGGTGTCACTTCAAAAAGATTTTAAAAAGGCAAAAAATCCTCTTTTATTCACGGGGTAAGCTGGACAAAGGGATCACAGCCACACAGTGTGGGGGGGCAGCAGTCCTCAGAAGGTGCAGAATTAAGAAAAAACAGCACTTAAGTTCTTTGGTGTCACTTCAAAAAGATTTTTAAAAGGCAAAAAATTCTCTGACTTTTATTCATGGGGTAAGCTGGACAAAGCTGCATAATTAAAAGTAAGAATAATAATAATGCCCACAACCTATTCTGTGCATGAAATAGCAACTGGCCAAGACAAGGAAAGCAAGTAATGAAATGAAAGCACGAAGAGACGATGGAGGCAGGTGGTTTATGGCCATAACTCATCTGCTTTTGGCACAGAAAACCCATGAAAAAGGACGAAATCTGAAAAGAGAAAAATAGGAGATACAGAATAAAAGCAAACAGCCAAGTTCAATACCAACAAGCAGAAAACCCCAAGCCCTTTCTCTGAGGACGGAAAGCAAGAAGACTATAGCTAAGTAAGCCTCCCAATTGCATTATTGCTCTGAAAAGCTTTCCAGGTTGTTGCACAGTAAAGGAAAATAAAAGGTGGGGGAGTAGGGAAGGGCTGCCCAGCATTGCTCATGCGAGCCAGGCTTTAGTGATTATTCTCACGTATTTATTTTTAATAAATTCTTCCTTTATATTTACATGTATTTCTATATAGAAACATAAGCATACAAAAGGAATATGTGTAAAAAATATATATAAAAAATGAATATATATAAAATGAATATATATAAAAGGAAAAGATATTTTGTTCACATAAAAATATATATTGAACATTTAAAAAAAAAAAGTGAAATGGGGTGGGGGGAAGCTATAATAAAAAGAGGCCTTTAATTAAATAAGATTGCCACTCTGGGATCAGGCCTTCATGCTTGTCAGCTTACTCTCAAAATAAACATCTCAAAGCAGGGCCTCAGTGGTGTCACTTACTCCAGCAAGGCAGCCTGGGTAATCCCTCGCTATCTTGACAGCTCCATAATGTTCCAGCGGCTTCACGGGTGAGCGGCGGCACCCGCGCCGCGGAAAATATTAATGCGGCGAATTAACAGCGAGAGAGAGGGGGACGGCGGCTTACAAAAGCCAAACAAGGGAAAGGTGTCAAGTTAGCACCGGTGTTAATTGTGAGGGAAAATAATTGTGGCGGGGCGGGGGGTCCTGCGGCGCTCGCCTGTCGGGCTGTCACGGGGGTGACATCTCAACTAGGCGGGTGAGGGATGGGGCGGCACGGCTGCCACATCCTACAAACGGCCACCAGCAGCTGGATTGTCACCTAGGTGGGGGACACAGAGAACCTGGGAGGTGGTGGTGGTCACTGGGGTGAGGCTGGTGGAGAAATGTCAGCTTGGATGTGGCAGCACGGCCCTCACAGCCTGCCTGAGGTTGGTCCCCAGTGGCACCGGAGTGCGGCTGCCAGGTCCCACAAATGATGGGTTGGCAGCTCCGTGCCACCCAGCAGCTGGATTGTCATCTGGGTGGTAGGACACAGAGCACCTGGGAGGTGGTGGTCGTCACTGGGGGGAAGCTGGCAGAGAAATGTCAGCATGCATGTGGCAGCATGCCCCCAGGGCCTGCCCCAGGTTGGTCCCAAGCGGCACTGGAGCGCAGCTGCCAGGTCCTACAAACAACAGAGTGGCAGCTCCGTGCCATCCAGCAGCTGGGTTGTCACCTGGGTGGAGGGACACAGAGCACCTGGGGGTTGGTGGTGGTCACTGGGGTGAAGCTGGGTGGCTGGTGGAGAAATGTCAGAGATGGACGAGGCAGCACGGTCCCCAGGGCCTGCCCCAGGTCAATCCCAAGATGCTGACGTAGCTCTCTGCTCACTGTGTCTGGTTCTGGTTTCCTTTAAGACACCCCAGATTGCATCCAGGTGACCAAAATAGTTGACAGGGAATGAGAAATAGGCCAGGTGGGCAAGCCTCTCCTGATGAGATGAACAGCACAGACTGCAAATTACTGACTGCATTTGAATTCAGGGCTTGAAGCCTTCTGGATCCAAGCTCAGAAAGATGTCTGGGTCTATTAAAAGCTATTTATAAGAGACAATCTACAATCTAGGCAGAAAAACATAACTTTTTTTGAAAAGAGCCTGGTGATGTTAGAGATGAACCAGTCTAAAAAAAGAGGTTTTTGTTTATAATCTTCTTTTAACTGCGACAGAAATGGATAATTTTCTGAAAAAGCCAGACCAATTAAAAAAAAAAAAAAGCTTTTTAGCATCCATTTCCTGGTGAAGGCAACTGAATCAACAACTTTTAAGTATGTGCATGCAGGCTCTTCTGAAAGCAAGGTCTCGCTCACATCAGCTGTACCAGTATCAACAGAGGAATGCATTATTGTTAAAGCCAGTTGAGAATTTTTCCCCCTGAAAATATCTCTGTGCTGGGAAAAGCAAGGTGCTCTGAGGTTAATTTGTATATTGTGCAGTGCAACAAGCAGGTTCTCACACAATAAAACATATGGACAAAATATATATAAAAACCCAAGATAATCTACCTCTCAGCCTAAAGCAAACCAAATAAGAGTAAAAAGGAAGGTTGACCTCTTAAAAAAAAAAATCATTCCATCAGCTAGGCGTCTTCCCCCATGAGAGAAAGAACATTAATCTTGACAGTGATACTCCCTGGAATTCCTTTGCATAATACCAATTTCATTTATATTTTCTTCCACTAACACTAAAAAGCAACGAGTACAGGCAGACCAGACATCATCTAAAACCTGAGGAATTTTCAGTGAGCAAGAAGTTGTTGGGATAGAGCAGCAGAGAAAGGTTTAGTAGCCCAAGAAACTAAACTGTTAAAGGTGTTTTTAAATGGATACTGCTGCCCTCTAGCAGCTACCGAGAGGTGGATCACATCCACTGCTTCAGAACGAGGGAAAAAATAACCCGACAAACCCAGAAAACCCAATATAATTTCAAGCCACACACTGTTTTATGGGAGCAAACTTACTGGAAATGTAGCATATGAAACAAGTCTCGTTCCATAAATAAATAAATAAAAATGACCACC